GGCTTGCGCCGACAGCGAGTTTGGAAGTGCCAGGCCGGAAGCGGCAGCCATCTGCAGCATCTGCAGCTGTGCAAGTTGTTGTTGCTGGGCCGCAGCGGCGGCTATACTGTTGTTTATGAACTGAGGCGACGGTTGAGATGGAACAGTTGTATTCACGGAGGAGTCAGCCCCTCCGGTACCTCCAGATGAACCAGGAACTGGAGGCACGGTGAACTCCCCCGCTCCGGAGCCGCTACCACCCCCGTCACTCGTATTTCCTGAAGTGTCACTCTTCCCACTCTCGATGTGGGCTTTCACGTTGTCGATATGCTTCTTAGTGAATATATGATCCTGAATAGAGTACTTATGCGAATACTTGAACTGGCATAGTTTGCATTCTTCCGGTGGTCTAGATGATTCAGACGATGTCACCACGGATGGAGACGTTTCGGGTCCACCTAAAACTTTCTGAAGTGCTATTTTATTCTTCTTCTCTTTGGCTCGAGCATTTTGAAACCAAACTTGGACCACCCTTTTTGGTAACCCAATTTCACGACCTAACATCTCACATTCTGCCATAGTTGGAGTTTTGTAATCGTTGAATAAAGATTTCATCGCCTTCACTTGCAGGCTACTCATCTGTGTTCGGAACCTCTTTCCTCCACCAGAATGGATGGGACGCTGGTGGCTGCTCTGTGTGCTGGACGCCGGGGATGTCGGATTACTTTCGTCACCGTCCATGTTTTCCGTCGTTTCGGACATACTGTCGTCTTCATAACACAAGCTGCGCTCACTGAGGTCCGTGAGAGGACCGGGTTCGGCCATAATAGAACGCGAGTCATGATCCAACGAAACTTTAACGGGGCGGCTCAAGTCCACGGGTTTACTGAGATCAAGCGGACCATCACCGCCCCCCCCAGTTCCGCCGCTACTACCACCGCCTTCGCTTCCAGGAGTTGAAGGTTCCTGCTTAATCTTCATGCTTAGATCTGTAGGGATCTGCAATCCCTCTTTACCGATGCCACCATTGTGTGCAGCATGGTGAGCCTGGAGCTCGCTTATGTAACGCTTCATAGATTCTTCATAATATTTTTTCAGTGAATTTTCCATGTCTGTATGAAAAGGCGGGAAAAGTGGCGGCATCATATTAGGCGTTGGAGTTGTTGAACCGAAGTTCGTAGAGACTTTGCCACTGTCGCCCATGTGGGATGAAGGCGCGGACTCCATGCTCAGTTCTTCATCCGGTAAGTTATCGATGTTAATCTCGCCGCGCGTGCACTGATCAGCATGCTTGGTCACAAGGTGCGACTCTAGAGCAGATTTTACTTTGAACAATGCCGGGCAAAACGGACATCGCTTGTTAATTACTTGAGCATGCGCTCTGAATTGCCCTTTGCGCTCACGTGCCCGCGTATTCTGAAACCACACTTGCACAACCCGCTTCTTCAGACCAACCTCTCGAGCAATATTCTCTAACATCTTACGTGATGGGTTACTCTCCAGTTGATACTTCTGATATAAGTAATCCAACTGTTCTGGAAGAATGGTTGTCCTCAGTCTTTTATCTTTCGGCTGATCACAATCTCGGTCTAAAGTGTCATCAAATTCTTCAAATTTCCGCCTGTTAGATAGCACAGATGCCAGTGGGTGGGAGTGCTGAGCTGTCGATGTGGAGTTAATCGACAAATCTGAAACCCCCATTCCAGCCATCTGCTGCTGCTGCTGTTGCTGTTGCTGCTGTTGGATTTGTGCATGCTGCTGAAGAATTCCGAATGGACTATCTGGCGGATACGTAGGGAACAGATTTGGGTTCATTATATGCACTAGTTGATGTTCTCTCCAGAGATCAAACCGTGGGAATACTAAATTGCATTTATCGCACTGGAAGGTTCCTTCTTTGACAGTGTTTTCAGTGTTACCTGGTGTGCCGGATATTGGTGAAGGCGGAAACAACGATGATGGCGGAGTGGGTGTTACAGCTGCTGAAGGAGTGGCCGGGTTGCTGGACGCTGATGACTGTTGTTGTTGCTGCTGCTGAGGTTGAGGTTGAGGTTGAGGTGGTTGCTGCGGTTGTTGCTGACTAGGTTCTGCTATGGTACTAGAGTTTGAATCTTCAGACGACAGAACAGCTGCTATTTGTGCTGCTGCAGCTTGAGCCTGAGCCGATCGTTTAGCATCTTCTTCCTTAAAGCAGTGAGTTTTTTGATGTCTTATAAGTTCATAATAGCGCTGGAACACAAGTAGGCATTTCTTGCATTGGTAGTTTAATCCAGGGGTTCTTTGAAATCTATTCGCACCTCCTTCTTCCACGCCAGGTGGCGCTTCAACTGGGGGCTGGTTCTCATACACTTTACGCGCTTTCTGACGTGCATTCTGAAACCACACCACTATGACTCGTGGACTCAGACTGAGCAGTTTTGATAAATACTCCAAATCATCATCCTTTGGGTAAGCATTGTTTTCAAAAAATTCCTGCAATACTTTGATTTGATAGTCAGTAAATCGCGTGCGATTTGCCCTCTTACCTGAAGAACCTCCTGACGAATTACTTCCATTACTATTGCCGCCTCCACTGCCGCAACCTCCTGGAGTCAGCGAAGCATGACTGAAGCCATCTGAAGAATTGTTACTGTAAGATCGGCCAGGGCTCACACTTCGTGAAACAGCAGATGCCGATGACCCAAGAGGCGGTAATATTCCAGGCGACGTAGGAACTTGACTGGGCGGTGGAAAATTTGGGGGTGTCAATTTTGGGGGCAACATGTTACTGGTGTTGCTGTGACTGGAATGTGATGACGTCACCGTCATGTTGGTCGCGTTCATAGTTGGATGCGTCGTTGTAATGGAGTCTGAGCCTAGCTGTGACGCGATAATGGAAGTCAAAGTAAGGCTACTTGGAGACGAACTTCGTACAATGCTTGAAGGAGGAACTGAACTTGAATTGTCGTTGTTATTGTTATTACTGTTACTGGTGTTACTTGCCATCATATTTACAGGACTCGGCGGTGGGTACAGGCTGTGAGGGGGCTTCTCGTCAGCAAGGTCCAGTATCCTCTCACCACCGCCTTCTTTCCTGTTGCTACTGCCATGCTCAGACTCCATGAAGAAGTTGTTGAATTTATGGTCTTGATTGTCGTGGTGATGGGATGACATCTCTCGAGGTTCCGTCTTTATCATCTCTGCAGGCTGAGGAAATGCCTGCGGGGGCGGAAATGGCTGAGGCTGTGACTGTTTCCGCTTGTTTGACGACGATCCAGTTGATACAGAAGACGGTCTCGCGGGCGCTGCTTCTTTGATCGGAGTCTGGTCTTCGTTTCCGCTGCCGCTGCTGTTCAGAGGCATCACTTTGGCCTCTCCGGTCTTTTCGTACTCTTCCAAGTTGAGCGTTGTTGATGGTGGGTTATTGAAATTGTAGGGCGAATCTTTGTTTCGTTGGCGCTCTTTAAACAAAGTGTTCCGAAACCAGTGTTTAATAACTTTGGGCGGCAATCCACTTTGACTGGCCATTTCATGGATCTGGTCTTCTGAGGGTGAATTGTTTATGTCGAAATGAGCGCGCAGAATTTTTAGTTGATCGTCTGTAATCCTTGTCCTTGCCCTTTTCTGCTGCGCGGCAGTCACCTGAAAATCCAAAACTTAATATTCCAGCTGGCAGCAACAATTATGGTAATTAGAAAAAGCACGTGCCATAAATACAGAAGGCAGGAACATAGCAGAAATCACATCACAGTGAAGGCTAAAGCAACGCTGAAAATATAGATGAAGAAGATGGTACTACTCACAATGTAAAAACATTTCTGGCAATGAATCCGCAGTCGTTTAACACCCTTTTTGCCATGAACTGGATTAACGATAAAATATTTTAATAACTCAAGGCATAATCCATAATACATAAGTACAGGAGAAATTTTTTTTTACAGAAATACAGACTCGAGAACAGTATTCCAAAGTGTTATAGACTTGCTAAAACATTTACCATCATTGTTAAATGCTAAATGCTGATTAATCAAACTGATATTTTATTTATAGGCATCATATTAAAATAGCTGATGTAGTGGGCTTACTCAGTTTGTGCACTTATCACAGCGTGTGACGCAAGGACACTTCTCCCGATTGCCCAATTCCATTAACATCACACCTTTTAACCAGTGCAGAAAATAGCAGACTCATTTCGTCCTTTCCTATTCCAAGAAGTCCCCTGCATTTGATACAATTTAAATAAAAGAAAACACTTGTTAATGACTACAAATTACGGACTTGGTCGATAGTTGTTGAATACAGTGACGTCACTGAAACCAAGATGAACGACCGGAACTTATTCCCGGCAATGGCGTAATATTTTGCCATTCGTCACTGCGTCTACACGGCGGATGGGACCTACCTTGCCTCAAACCCAATAAAAATTATTTCCCTCGAGGTAATGTGACTGTAACGTGAAACTACACTTACTCGCTTGTGCCTTGGTTAAGCATGCGCTAACCAGTTGCCCATACACGTTCATGACTTAGCACAATGACTTCACATGACTGTTCATGTCCATAAAAATTATCGATATAAGGGGTAAAGACTAAGCCCAGATTTCAACAAATTCGTTCCTCGACACTGCACAGGTCAAAGGAACAGGGTATTTTACGAAATTGCGAACGTTAAGTATTAATTTTCATTTCAGTTACGTGTCCGGCAAGAGATTATAATAATGTGTTGGCTGGTAGGGCCTACGGCATAAATTAAGGACGATGAGAGATGACTACGGATCATCGATAGAAGTGTTGGCTACGAGGAAATATATAAGCACGTGGAGGAAAACCTGCCTTCAACAAATTCGACATGGACTGCCATGAATTTAACTCGGGTCATGCGGTGAGAAGCCTGATTTATGAAACGGGCAAGTGGACTAAAACCGTCAAATGACAAATGTATGAAAGAGTATTAATTCCCTAATAAATTGTAAAGAAATTAAATAATGCAAGCTCAAGCATAGCTTTGTACTGATAGAAGAAATTGAAATGAAAGACAAACTGGACACATTTAAATATGATATTGTGTACACATTCTTCTGCAAGGAGTGCTTACAGTAACTTCCACTGAGGCAAAAGAAGTACGTCTGGGATACTGGGATAGTGGGAACGGCCCGTTCTTCAAGTGCCTGAGCACTGCAGGTCCCAACTTTACGTTGGCTTTGATCTATAGACATTCGGTAAGACTCCTTGGACGAGGGATCGGCCCGTCGCGAGGCCTGTACCTGTACGCAGGACAGCACAACACAGAAAAACGCGGACAAATTCCATGGCTTGGATTCGAACCCACGGTCCCAGCGACCGCGCGGCCACTGCGGACCCCAAAGAAGTATGTCATTTTAATTAATCATCCATTCCAATAAGAATAAATAATTAAGGGGTTTACTTTCAGGTGAGACAATGGAGGAAAGCAAATCTTGGATTTCACCATCAAGCAGCACTGGGAGATGCTTCAGGGCACATATCTGTATCCGAGCATCACGAGAGTGAAATATGAACACAGATTCTTCTCTTGTGGCAATGGGCGTTTCCTTTTCACAAAACGATGCCGCGACTAAAACACTTAATGTAACCTGATAACGAAATCAGTTCTGTGGATAATTTTCTAGTGCTTAACAGAACATGAATATAAAACAAATGTCGTTTATTTGAAAGTGGGCATATTATCGACAACACTTAGGTAATATTCGTACAAAATATTTTGTAGAAGGTTGTATTTTAAGGCCGAAATCCCAAACTGTGTACAAGTCTTAGTCTATACTTGTGCCACGTTTTTCAGAAGTCCTTTTCCGTCAACCTTCTTGCCTTTATGCGTATGACGTGTCTAAACTCAGAGAAACAATTAAATTAAACTACTGCACACCGAAGGAATGAATCAGCATTTCGTTATGAAAACAACGCAGTATAAAGATAATAAAGCATTTACTACCGCCTGCTGCTGCTGCTGAAGCAAGTGTTGCTGCTGCTTCGCGAGGATCGAACCCGGGTCCATCCCAGCTGCGGCTGCTTGCGGAGAGAACATGGAGTTCTGAGCCTGGGCAAGGGACAGCGGGTCGAAAGGCGGCGGTGGCATCATCATGGGAACGAGTGGAGGCTGCAGGTTCATGGCCGCAAGAGCGTTCATGTTGAGCCCCAAGGGAAGGCCCATCCCGAGGCCCGCCATTCCCATCATCATGGGTGTGCTGAACTGCTGTAGCTGCTGCTGTAACTGAGAAGCCGCCATCACATTTAAGGCCGCCTGCATCTCACTCATCTGTTGAGCCAACGACATGGATAGGCTTGAGTTGGCACTGCTGGACGCCCCTGCACCGCCCATGCTACCTGTTGCTGCCATCGAAGTCGAAAGCGTTGCAGGAATCGAATCTGTGCTGGACGCTGGTGTTGATGAGGCTGTTGGTGTACTAGGAGCAGTAGTTGGCCTTTCCGGGGGTGTTCCCTGCATTGACTGCTGCTGCTGTTGTTGCTGATGCTGCTGTTGTTGAGCTATCTTAACCTGGACTGCCTCCTTGCTGTCTTCAACATCCTTCTCAGGTATCAGGTCTATGTTGGAAGGTATGTTGTTCGAGGAGTTGCTTGTGGATGTGGCCACAGAGTGCTGTCCTGCAGATGCAGTTAAGACGGTTGTCCCGGTTGGCGTGGTTGACGTCGCTGCCGTTACTACAACCGTCTTCTTCTCGTACTCAGACTTGAACTGCTGAGCATATTTTTCGAGAAATTCCGGCGGAACCAAGTCCCGATGTACTTCTTCACAGTGAGCCTTTAACACCCACACACTTGAAAATTCTTTTCGGCAGTGCTGGCATACTGACTTAGCTACTTCCGGCAGGTCCTGCTCAACGGTGACAAGTGGCTCATCCTCCAGTTTGATCATAACAGTCTGGTTCTGCAGTTGTTCCTGTTCCTCTAACAGTGGTGTCTGAGTACTTGCAGCCGGTAGCATGGTTTCTTCATCTTCGCGCTCTTTCCTCTGTCGTCTCTGATGATTTTCGTTGAACTGCATCACAAGGTCAAAGCCAAAACTCTCCAGCAGGTGCTTGTACACTTGAGACGACTTTTTCCCTGGCACTGAGAGCCGCATAAAGGGCTCTTCTTGATGTGGTGTGGTCGAAAGGGGCGGAGGCGTCTTTGCGTTAGGCTGTGGAGAGCTGTGAGACGCCTGCGATGACACCGAGACGGAGTTTTGCGACGGAGCAGGAAGAGGCGGGAATAAAGTCATCGGGCTGCCAAAGAGACAGTATAATTGCTGATGGGTGTTGAGTTGCTCCTGACTGACAAACAGCGCACTGCATCTCTGACAAGAGACCATTCCGTGTTGCTGCTGAGGCGATGGTGGCGCCTGCGTGTGGTGATGGTTATGATTCGACATCGAATTGCTTGTACTTGTGTTTGTTGCATTATTCGACAAACTATTAGGAACTGATGACATGATTGGGTTGGTTGACGTTGATGCTGAAGCAGTCGCAGCGGCAGCGGTGGATTGAGGAACTATGTTACTGCCCGTGACGGGAGACGATCCCGGGGCAAGAGACGGCACTTGCGAGGAGACGCCGCTGCTACTGATACTGCTGCTGCCTCCCGAAGAGGGTGACGTCAGCGACGACGAAGACACTGACTGTTGTTTAGGCGAGGCACCGAGAAAATCCTGCAGCATCTTCTTGTGTTGATCCTGTGCTTTCTGGGGCTCCGGCTGCTCAATAAGGGGTTTGCTCAGGTCAATTTGACCCGTTATGGCCAGGTCTTGCAATTTTGACGCCCGTGTCTGGTGAAGCACCGATCTCATGTGAATGTCCAGAGTCGAACCCTGACTATATGCCACCTTGCATATGTTGCACTTGTATGGTTTTTTGTCGTCGTCATCGCAGATTGGAGTTGATTTTGGAGTTGGTGGTGGCGTAACTCCCAAACTGGCGGCCAGTGCGGCCGCTGCAGTAGCAACTGCATGCGGCGACACCGCAGACACGCCGTTATTATTATTGTTGTTGTTGTTTTGCTGCTGTTGTTGTTCCTGCATGGCGCGCTTCAATTTGTGCAAGTGACTGACAGAGTTGTAATGCACCAAAAGGATGTTCTTTTGCGTGAATGACTCTTTACAAACATCGCATTTATAAGGTCTATTTGGGTCCAGATACTTCTCCATCGGGTAGCTCAGTTTTTCTCCTTTGCGATGAAGTAACGTTTTATTGTGACTCGTCAAATAGCTCTGTCGAGTGAACGCCACTTTGCAGCGGTGGCACTTATACTTACGATTCGGGTCGTTATAGCTATCTTCTGCTATTGCTTGACTGTTGAGGTAATCCTCTAGGAACTGTTGTTCTTTGTAAACAACCGAGTCATCGCTGTTTTCTCCATCACCAACACTGTTGCCAATACCGTCTTCCTGGCCATGACTCTGGTCTTTACTTGGACTTTCGTCTACATCCATAATTTCATCAGATTCCATCTTCAGACTCTCTTTCTTCAACAAGTCATTGGTCGAAGGATCCAACACCTGACCACTAAGACCAGCTAGAAGGAGAGGGTTACTCATCAAGCTTTGTTTATATGCGGCTAATTCGTCCTCGGACAACTCCGAGTGAGATGTTTCTACGTGTTTGTGAAGTGCAAGTACTGACCGGAAGCTACGACCACACAATACACACTTTGTGGCGTCGCGGATCAGATGGTACTGAGAATGAAGCTGCAGTTTCTCCATGGTCTTGAAAGCGAGGCTGCATTGATTACACCTATACTTATACACATGCTTCTCTGATACGGCGATCGTCTGTTGATGTCCTGGGGTACCTGGCACTCCCCCACGCGTGTGTATTTCACGAAAATGCATCTGAAGACTGTGCGCAGTAGGGAAATACTGATTGCATCCTTTCTTCCAACACAAATACCCCGGGCCATTTGGAGTTTGTTTTATTTCCAAATGTCCTGTCTCATTTTGATGCATGCATAATTCGTCAATGTTTCTGCAGCTCCTGAAGCATGTCTGGCATCTGAACTCATCCATGTCCATCTGATCGTCTGGTGAGGGCGATAACAAATCTGGTTGCAATGCCTCATCCCGATCATCATTCGAGTTGACGTCCGAATGGTTTTGCTT